TTCTATACACTTCTATCGACTAACATTGCATTAAGGTATAAAATGGAACACGTAAGTAATAAATCTAGAAGTGGAAGACGAGGAGGAGAAAAGAAATTGCAAATATTTTTGTCGCAAGAAACGGTCACCCCTGCCAGCCGGAGTGCCTATGATAGCCAGCAGAGGGCACTCCTCGCTAGTCCTTTGCCATTCCATCGTGAACTACATTTCCCATAAACCTTTGCCTGGACTCATTATCCATTGTGGTTACATCCACCTGTGTGTCATAAGCTTGTTAAATGTCTCTCAGGGTGTATTCACACCAGGAAAGTCCGATAGCTTACTTGCTTTGGTCCTCCAGACCAAATAATTTTTTTTTTTTTTTTTTTTCTGGTACGGTTCGCTTTCACACTGCTCTTTTTGCAAGCGAACCAAAATTTGTAAACAAAACCACATGTGTGCAAAGGTCGTCCATTCATTGGACAAGGATTCTCAAGTAGGGAAATCAGGAAGTCCAAGGAGATCTTTCCTACTGCAATACTTGTTATTTTACTAATTTTGTGTTATTCTGTACAAACGCAACATGAAGAAACTAATATGTATCATATGATACAATGTCATCTCTATACGATGTTGTAATTCGGATTTTGAGAAGACGACGAGTGTAACGTTTGAGTGGCTCTATAAACGTGGGCAAATACGACAACTCTCGTCTCTCGTGCATCTTTTCATTCGACCATCTACTGTTTTTTTTTTAATCTCTGGGCAACTTTGCGTTACAAGTGGCACTGCGCAGAAGACGGATAGGCTAATGCATAAAAGTTTTCATTCATAGAGAGAGGGCTATGTTCACACATTCAAATAATGCAATTCTTATTATACTGCTAACAAGTGCTGTCAATGTTAAAGGATTAGTTCACTTTTGAAAAAACTTTTGCTGATAATTTACTCACCCCCATGTCATCCAAGATGTTCATGTCTTTCTTTCTTCAGTCGAAAAGAAATTAAGGTTTTTGATGAAAACATTCCAGGATTTTTCTCCATATAATGGACTTCAATGGGAACCAAACGGTTCAAGGTCCAGAAGACAGTTAATAACAGTTTCAGATGCAGCTTCAAATGTCTTTAAACGATATCAGACGATGAATAAGGGTCTTATCATGCGAAACGATCGGTTATTTCAAAACTTATTCCAAAAATGTAACTTTTCTAAGGACAAATGCTAGCCTTGCTCTATTCTCTGAGGCGCGTTTGCAACGTCACGTAATACGTAATTACGTTCAAAAGGTCACGGCGACGTAGCCGGAAGTACAGAATCAAAATCGTCCGACATCGTTGTTTTTCCTTTTAATTCCTTTTTTTGTAAAGGGTGTTTGAGCTAGTTTGCATGTTCAACCTATGCGTTCAACTTGTAAACACTGACTCTGTACTTCCGGCAACGTCGCCCGTGACCTTTTGAACGTAATTACGTATTACGTGACGTTACAAACGCGCCTCAGAGAATAGAGCAAGGCTAGCATTTGTCCTTAGAAAAGTTACATTTTTGGAATAAGTTTTGAAATAACTGATCGTTTCGCATGATAAGACCCTTATTCATCGTCTGATATCGTTTAAATACATTTGAAGCTGCATCTGAAACTGTTATTAACTGTCTTTTGGACCTTGAACCATCCGGTTCCCATTGAAGTCCATTATATGGAGAAAAATCCTGGAATGTTTTCAGCAAAAACCTTAATTTCTTTTCGACTGAGGAAAGAAAGACATGGACATCTTGGATGACATGGGGGTGGGTAAATTATCAGCAAAAGTTTTTTCAAAAGTGAACTAATCCTTTAACGCTTGTGATTAAGTTTGTCCAGTTTACCGTAAATGAATGCAGCATCATTCTTGTATTGTAACTATCCACATTATGAACTGCAAATGTTTCGCATCTGTTTTGACACTCTTCCAAATATCAAAAAATCGGCTGAATGGATTCAAAAACGGTAAAACTCAACTGTTTAACTCTGGGGGAGTTGTAAAATGAGCCTGTTTCCAAAAAAAAAAGTGGAGTATCCCTTTAATGATGATCTTAAATAGTTATTCGTAACATACACATTCATGAACACAGAGAGAGATGAAGTTACGATAACTGTAGCTGGCTAACTTGTGCAAATAACTAACTTTGGTGTGGAACGTCTCTAAACTAGTGCTACACAAAACACGTCTATATCTCCAAGACAACTGTTAGTATCATCACATTTTCATGTATACATCTGCGGTGTATGGCACACAGTCAAATACATTAGTCATTTTCCCTTCCTTGTGCGGAGACTATGCCAACACATACAGTAGAAGAATTGCATCCCTATGGCACAATATCACTGTGATGGAAGTGAAGGGCATCATCACTATCCTGTGAGAGACACTACTCAAGATCAGGGATGCGTTTCCCAAAAGCATTGCAAGACTAATTTGATCGTATATCAATTGCCACCAATGGTCTCTACGATCAACTGCTTTTGGGAAATGCAGCCCAGATCAGTCCAGTCCATTGTCTGCTAAACCACCCACTGAAATAAAGCTTTAGTTCATATTCAGGTTTGGTGGTTTGAGAAAACGATGGAAGATTAATCGCATAATAAATCATCACAAATAGAAACAACAACAACAGATTAACAGGAAGACAGAGGCCATTTGGATGACCAGATAGTACAGAAGAACCAGCTGGTGTCTACTCACTGTCTCCAGCCTCCTGTCAAGCCAAGGCAACAAACCATGATATCCTCTCCAAATGCGTACAAACTGTAAGGTTCGCTTTTGCCGCAGACATATTATACTTCAAATCGTGTGGCATATCTCAGATACTTGAGGGTGCAGGATAACCTCTTGGGATAGTTCACCCAAAAAAATACAGATTCTGTCATTAATTACTCACCCTCATGCCGTTCTAAAATCGCATTGAAGATCTTTTCGATGAAATCTGAGTGATTTCTGTCCCTCCATTGACTCAACTACCACTTTGATGCTTCAAAAAGTTCATAAAGAGATCGTAAAAAACTAATCGTGTGAATTGAACGGTTTAGTCAGAATTTTCTGAAGAGAATCGATCGCTTTATATGATGAACAGATTTTATTTACTGTATTTAATTCACATAAACATTCATCAACTCACATATAGGTTGTTGTATATGGAAGCTCAAGCACGTTCGCTTGACGTGTGAGAACTAATTAGGGTTCATTCTCGTGTTACGCATCACGTTTGAGCTTCAGCAAGAACCAATGAGGCTCATTCTCGTGTTATGCAACACCTTTGAGCTTCAGCAAGAACTAATGAGGTTCATTCTCGTGTTATGCAACACCTTTGAGCTTCAGCAAGAACCAATGAGGTTCATTCTCGTGTTACGCAACACCTTTGAGCTTCCGCAAGAACTAATGAGATTAATTCTCGTGTTACGCAGCACTTTTGAGCTTCAGCGAGAACCAATGAGATTCATTCTTGTGTTACGCATCATGTTTGAGCTTCAGCAAAATCAAATGAGGTTCATTCTGGTTCCTGTTTGTTTTTTTGGGGTTTTTTTTTAAATAACATTCCAGAAATATTCTCTGTGTAGGGTATTTAGAAGAAAGGGTTCTATATAGAACCTTAAAAGGTTCTATCAGCGCTACGTATTTGGAACCCCTAAAAGGTTCTATACACTCTTAAAAAAAAGGGTTCTTCTGGGTTCTATATAGAACACTGGGGTTCCATACTTGGCCAATAGAACCTTTTACCAAAAAAATGGTTCTATATAGAACCATTTTGGAGTTCCATATATGAAGCGGGGGATGGAACCATTTCTGGTTCTAAGAGTGTAACCTTGCCAAAAGATTCCAAGGAGGACTTTGTGATTAACTAAAAATAACCTATAAAGAGCATTTTCTAATGGTTATTTTTAGGATTTGTTTTTTTAACCAATAACTAGCATCCCTAGAACGTTGCACAGAGGGTTTTTTGTAAGTAAAGACAAACCTCTACAAAATGCTCACTAATGGTTATTTGTATAACCAAAGCAACTCAAGAAACCTAAGTGAGAAATGGTTTTACAAAAGAAGAGGGACGCAATTCTCCTTGTAGAAGCGCCGCAACGAACCACTGAAGAACCATTTATAAAAACAAATCGTTCTGAACTTCTACAACTTTTGACATCGCACAGATCAACAGCCCCACATAAAATCGTCAATGACGCCAATTCAGTGTTGAAAAACCTTTCCTTTTCGGTCACTGTCAGGTAACAAGTAGGATCCTAATTTAACCCATGATTTATTGCATGCAAAAAGGTTGTTTACATATGGATTACTTAAAGGTACAGCAGCACAGCAGGCTGTTTAATTTTAAGGGCCAGCTAGACAGCAGGAAAAAATTGTTGTAAAAATCGAAACTAAGACTATTTTGGCACTTAAAAAAATCTACACATGGCAAATCAACAATCAAAATACACAATATGACTCAATTTCAGAGTATACAATTATAATAAAACTGTCTACTGATCACATTCAGCAAGGGTACCTCCACTTTTTTTGGAAATAGGCTCATTTTACCACTCCCCCAGAGTTAAACAGTTGGGTTTTACCGTTTTCGAATCCATTCAGCCGATTTTCTGATATTTAGAAGAATATCAGTAACCAGACAGTTTCTGGTCTCATTGACTTCTATAGTATATTTTTTCCTACTATAGAAGTCAATGAGACCAGAAACTGTCTGTTTAATGATATTCTTCTAAATATCCGAAAATCGGCGGAATGGATTTGAAAACGGTAAAACCCTCCGGGGGAGTGGTAAAATGAGCCTATTTCCCAAAAAAAAAAAAAAAAAATTGGAGTATCCCTTTAAGGAGAGAAAACAGAAACGCTTAAAGTGAATTCCTCAAGTGTTCCATGATGATCCTAATTTAGGATCCAATTTATCTGCATGTTCTGCAACACTGTTGTCATGCAAGTTACTTCACATTTCTATATACAATCTGAGCATCAGTCATGGAAAGTTTACAAACAACACTTACTGATTTGTGGATTCCCTCTACGGTTGATCAGCTCACAAACAGACGTAACGGTAGACCATCCATTCTCCAAGAGACCACCGAGTTCAGCACGCACTAGTGCCAGTCATCGTCCTCAGTGTGGATGGTTCAATGACAGCCTGATTTCAGAAGGGCCTGCAATCAATACTAATATGGAGTAATCAGCCAATCGAAAGAGGTCAGAGAGCTGAATGACAGGATGTACAATACTGATCATGATTACAGTTACATCAAGCACTTACTATCTACAATATACTAATGACATTCATCTCTTAACAGATGGTTGAATTGTAAAATCCTTCCTCTGGAATACAGAAAAGACTAAGAAAGTAGAACGAATACTCACCCCAATGTCATCCATGATGTCCATGTCTTTCTTTCTTCAGTCGAAAAGAAATTAAGGTTTTTGATGAAAACATTTCAGCATTTTTCTCCATATAATGGACTTCAATGGGAACCAAACGGTTCAAGGTCCAGTACAAACTGCAAACTGTTCAAAGGGCTTTAAACGATTCCAGACGATGAATAAGGGTCTTATCAAGCGAAACGATCGCTCATTTAATAAATAAATAACAAAGTTTAAGTTTTATAAGCTCAAATGCTCGCCTTGCTCTGTTCTGTGACGCGCACGTTCATGACTCTCCTGTTTGAACTCGTTCATCAAAATGAATGAATCTTTTTCCAAGTCATTTGGTTCATTCAACGAACGAAACGAACAAATTGACTTGGAAAATCTGGTCCCTAAAATTAAGGATTTTTCGAATTGTGTTTTCTCCCAAAAGGAAATTATACTTATCTTTAAAGTCAGCAAGAATTCAAATTGGACAATTCTTATTTTTTATTGGAATATTGCAGTATTTATAGTAAATGATTTAACCGTACAATCTCTTTTTTTTCTTCATGCGCTAAACAGAAGAAAAAAAAAAACAATTATAATGCACTCAGACAGCTTGTCTAAAAAGATTCTCGCAAACACATTAGCATTCATGTCCACCTGCAATAACTTTTCAGATAAATGTCGTCCGACTTTCAATACGGCTTTAAAAGACTGGTCACAATGATTTATAGAGATGGACTCTGTGGAAATTGATGGAAGAGTAAGGTAACAAATAATTAACTTGCTGATATACAGCCAAACTAAAAGGCAAAAGTCTGAGATTTGAGTAAAGACGCGCTTCCAATGCCAAACCATTTCTGACTGGGGCAGACTGCTTAACTGCTGCATGGCGTTGGATGAAAGAAGTCTGGAAATCTGTGCAGAGTCATGAGGCGTTTGTGGTGTGGCAAATGGCCTTATGGGTATAATGCTGACTTGGTCTGCATGTTTAATGTGGCTCTTGGGTCTCATTTGTCTATGCTTATTTCCTTCACTTCTAGAAGTATTTACTCTGTATTGTAAAGAAAAAGTTTGCTCAAAAACGAAACCAATGAGACTCTCTTGCTTATGTGAAACACAAAAGAAGTTTAAAAAAAATGTTCAAATGTTCTTTTCCATTAAAGTGAAACATACATTAACCACAGGAATTCCCCAGCATAGATAGACCATACACTGAAAAATGGCTTTAAACCAAGCTATTTCCAAGCAGTTTGGCTAAACTGTAACTATATGAAACAGTACCATCACACAGTATCATCATTTCCATGTTACACATTTTCAAATGATCACAAAAAAAAGTACTGGAATCCACCTTATTCTGCGACCGTTCTATTTCCCATGATTCATTGCGGTTTCAACTGACTAAACGGTTTTCCACTTCCTGTGGAAGTATTGTTTACATAGAATGCTAGCACTCTAGTCCAGACCACTCACTCATCTATATAATGTTATATAATATAGATCGGTGGTCCACTGCAGACATTAGAAAAATATCAGTCTACACATGCGTTTAATATTGACGGACATGACCGTTATGAAAGCGACTTTAAAACTTTCACAGAGATCTTGAAGAGAAACCACAAATAAACCTTTCTTTAAAGTGAAATATTCGTTTTTTTAATTAATTGAATCTTAATTTAAATCAATGTTTCATCATAAATAAGAAGTATATAGTAAACGATAGATGATCATGACTGAGGCGAGAGCGCGCAAACTGGACTTTGGTCTCATGAAGGAAACTCGGCGTAACATTACTAACCTCACCGGCCTGAGTGAGAAATATATGCATCTTTGAAAGCAGAGGTAGACAGTAAAGGGCTAACCAGCCTAACCTTATAGTCCTGTTATTCTGCAGCACTCGGCGTGATAGAAACTGTTGGATGTTCATGCTGGATTAGGGAGATATGCAGTCACGCATCAGCTATCCCTTGGAAGTTTAAGAAAAGAAAAACGTTCATTTTGTTTTTATCTGTGATTTAATAAAAAAATCGATTTAGCTAATCGATTTAGCTTAGCGATGTGATGATGACACAATCTAAAACACATGGCAAAAAAGCGTAGGCTAGACTCGAACCGGAAGTTGACGACCGGAGTCGTTGTCATGGCGGCGCCCATTGTTTACAGCAGAATAAGGTGGATAAAAACGTACTGTTCGGACATTTAAACTGATGACTATGGCAACGAAAAACAGCATTTGAAAGTAACTTGCTGCTTTAAATAATGACTGTTTCACTACGTTGTTCCAAAAAGGGTATTTGTCATTGACTCATTAAAGAGATTTGTTCAAAAACGCTGATTCATACAGTAACAAAAAAGTGAAGTATTTATAAGTGAGTCATTGAATTTTTTTTTTTTGTTCAAATGAATGAAACGTTTTTAAATAGACTCAAGAACCTCAAGTAATGATTACTAGTGATTCTCAGTTTATCCAGTATTGTGCAGCTCTACAAGGCCAGTCAATTTCATGACAACAGACTTTATCCACTTGTATGCTGTGATAATTAATGATTAAGATCATCAGATTGGCAAAACAAAGGCAGGTCCTTGAGAGAATAAACAATTAGCTCAGTGACCTACGGCCAAACAAAGATCCAAGATTTGAGAAACTCAAAAGCAGAATGATCTCATTTGCATTGTTGTCTGCCACTGGTATTGAACAGCTGCAACACTCAAAACTATGTTTGACTTTCCAAAGATGGTGATGAATTATCACCAACATGACAAGTATGAAACATGTTCCCCTTATGAAGGAATATTTGGTTGTTGTCATAGTAACCTCTCTGGCATCCTTTTCTAGGATGAAGAGGTTTGGAATCAGATGCACGATATGTGAGACAGACCGTATAATGATGGGCTTTGTTGAAATGACTGGAATATGTTTCTGCATTCTGAATAATTCACATTCGCACTTTGTATTATTAACACTGTAAAAAAATATTTTCAAGATTTGTTATCACAACATTTTTTATTTTGTCAAATCAACTTAAATAATTTATTTAGTTGAGAACTTATTATTTTGAGTTTCTGATGATTGAATCAATCTCCTTCATTGTATTAACTCACTATTTCCAGTTCAATCAACTTAGAATTTTAAGGCGATCAGGTTACTTGATTTTTTAAGTTAAACCAACAATATTTTTTTACAGTGATAAATACAAATCTAACCATCATTAGATTCTGTGTCACAAATAGAGACCAGAATATCATAAAACAACAACAACTCAAACAATTATTTCCTTCAGCTGAGACACTTCAAATGCGTACTTTCAACATGATGGGTTTCAATTGCTCGAAATATGATTGAAATCACTTAACTAAAATATAGTTTAGTGCAACATGCAGCGCAAGTCAGTCATATCGGCTACATACAATTACAATGAGAACATCTTTATAACTGTGTGTTTGGGACATGGATTTCAATGCGGCGATTTTTGCTTTTGTAATCAGGCTTTTAAAAATTATATAAAAACTTGGATTTAGATTTTCCGACATTATATCGGTTATCGGCTTTCAAATATAAAGAATTATCTTTTATCGGTATTGGCCAAAATTTCCATATCGGTGCATCCCTACTTTATTAATTGCCACTGTAATCATAACTTATGTGAAAAGGAATAAAAGTTGCTGGTGTTTTACTCCCACCAGAGTTCATTTCATTAGGAAAATGCTCGCAAAAATTTTTTGTTTTTGTTTTTTGTTTTTTCTCAATAAACCTGCGTTGGGTGGAAATGTTCATGACTTATACAAAACACTGCCTACCTTTTCAAAAGTGCATGCAACTCTCACGATTAGAGTCACAAATAGAGACCAGAATATCATAAAACAACAACTCTGATCACTTTAAAACTGCATAGCAACGCCCTGGCAACTACCCATAACACCCTAGCATTGTGTCATTGAGTTTTGCGTGTAAACAAACGCCACTTTTCATGCATGTATTAATACTATCATATAACTATTTATATGTCTGCGCTATGTATGTCCTGTTAAATGTACATTCAAACATGAATATGAATATATCAAATTTCATAACATTTCTAACAGTTTGAATAACCTCTGTTGCACATTGAGTATCTGCCAGCTGAAATAAATCAAATTCGTCGGCAAAAGCTTTTGTTTGTTTTTTGAGACTTTTTAAACAGATTTCTTCCACCTCATCATCAGTGCTGTTGTTGTTTCAGTTGCTGTTATTAATTCCACTGCTGGGACACATTGCAGTGTTACGGTAAAGTTCAGTCTCTTAGGTAAACTTCCTTCGGCTGGACGAATTCCCTGCCTGACGTGTTCCTCACACATTTTCCAGGATTCCCTGTCATCATCCTTAAAAAAATGTTCATCTCTACCTTGGCAGTTTCATCTCAGTTCACACTCAATGGCTGCGTCCAAAATCGCATACTTCCCTACTACATACATAGTAGGTGAAAGTACTCATAAAATAGTAGACAAAAAGTACCCGGATGACCTACTACTTCCAGTGATATTCTGTAAGATGGACACGACCATAGATACCCATAATAAAAGGCTAGGTATCTATCGTCATCACCGGCGGCCATCTTGCCACAGGCAAGCTTTCTGGCGGGCTCTGTGGTTCCTGATATAAGATGAGTGATCAGCACGAGCACAAATACTTTTATCTCGTTCAAATCTTGACGCATTTACAAACGTTTAAAAATCGGTAGAAAATTGAGCAAGTTATAGTTATAAAACAGTGTTACGAGTGAGCGAGCTGCCTGTGACAAGATGGCCGCCAGGTGCGGTCGTGGATCGACCTCCATTGGCCAGCAGTGCGGGTGAGACATCTAGCCTTTATTATGGATGTCATAGACTGTAATAAGGTTACTATCCCATGAGGCCATAGGAGAGGATTTATGAATGGCTTTGAAGTGACGGAACTGACACTGGTAGGTCACATGATAATGACATCATTGCAGATGTATGTCTGGATTACCTTCATAGTACACACTTATACTATTTAGAACACACTTTTTAGCGGTCGTGAAATCATTACTTATTCAAAAATTAAAATAAGTCTTTATTGTCACATTATCCTTCAGAATTCATTCTAAAATGGTGATTTGTGGCTCAATAATTATTATAAATGTTGAAAACAATTGTGCTGCTTAATATTTTTTGTGGAATATTTTTTTATGTTTCTTATGCTTTTTATATTTACAATTTTTATGTTCAATTTAATGCATCCTTGCTAAATATAAGCAATTTGTTCAGCAAAATTGTAAATTTCTGTGTAGCTCTATGTCACAGCTGTCTGCTAAATGATAAATTAGTAAATAATAAGAAACAAATCTCAAATGTGTTTATTGTGAATTACTTTTATTGGTAATAAAGCTGTTAATTGTATAAATGCAGAGGCAGCAGACAGGCATTTCCTTCTCCTACATGACTCCACATGTCGTCTATGTGGTCGTTTCCACATATTAAAACCATTTACAACAATCTTCCCGTTTAGTAGCACCTAAACCATCTAAACTGGTTAAATGTGAAAATTCACAAGCACCCCAACAGAGAGATCTACATCAACCATACCCTTTTTAATCATCATCAATAGGCCATGTGTCTCAGAATATCTCATCCAAACCAATCAAGGAAGCCAGCCCTGATTTCCTGTCCTGCATTTTTAATTGTTTATTGGATTCACCGCAGGGGTCGACTCTGACCCAGCTAGGAGAACATGTGCTGCAAAAAAGCTGCAGCCCCGCGCCGCACCTGGTCGGATAACAGAGGAAGGGTGAGAGACATCTGGGAAAATCATTTCACACAGCGCTTCCACTAATCCAAAAAAGCTGGCAGTTTGCTGCGTCTACAGGGTGTGTTTGTGTGTGTGTGCACGCGTGAGCTTCCGCTATTGACCAAGAATTGCACTGCATGAGATGACTAGTTAATTAAAAACATGTTTGGAAATCTCCCTTTAGAATTTGACTCATATTTCCCGTCTCCTCGTGTTCATTAACATTGTGAGGTTCCTCCCTGGCATCTTAATTGGCTAATGAGTGATGTCAGACTTTCCTCTCCCAGTTTAGGGCTGGTTTTTGTAACTTCCCATCGAGCTCTTCCTTAAAAACCACATCCTCCTTTAACTGAACATAAATTTCCTACTTATTCACCTCAGACTTGAAATGTGCCAACTGTAGCTCAGCATTTGTTGACAAGAGTGACGGAGGAGGCTTTCATTAAAATATTTTTTCTGATTTGGTTTAAAGGGAAACATGATGTCAATATAGATTTCAATACATAGTTCAATATATTTTCAGTGTGTCGTAGTTACTGTTTAAATGTACACTCTCAGAAAAAGGTCCAAAAGCTGTCACTGGGGCTGTACCTTTTAAAAAGGTACACTTTTGTACCTAAAGGATACATTTTGGTACCTTAATGGTACATTTAAGCACCTAAAATGTAAATAATAGAACCTAAAAATGTACATATTAACAACTAAATGTACATAACAGCACCTACAATGTACACATTAGCACCTAAAATGTACATCTTATCACCTAAATGTACATAATAGCAGCTAAAATGTACACATTAGCACCTAAAATGTTCATATTAGCGCCTAAAATGTACATATTAGCACCTAAAACGTACATATTAGCTCCTAAATGTACATAATAGCACCTAAAATGTACACGTTGGCACCTAAAATGTACATATTAGCACCCAAATAGCACCTGTACACATTATTACCAAAAATGTTCATATTAGCACCTAAAATGTACATATTAGCACCAAAATGTACATAATAGCACCTGAAATGTACACATTAGCACCTAAAATGAACATTTTAGCACCTAAATGTACACATTAGCACCTAAAATGTACATATTAGCACCTAAAATGTACACGTTAACACCTATAATGTACATATTAGCACTTAAATGTACACGTTAGCACCTAAATGTACACTTTAGCACCTAAAATGTACATATTAGCACCTAAATGTACATATTAGCAGCTAAATAGCACCTGTACACATTAGTACCAAAAATGTTCATATTAGCACCTAAAATGTTCATATTAGCACCTAAAATGTACACGTTAGCACCTATAATGTACATATTAGCACTTAAATGTACACGTTAGCACCTAAAATGTACATAATAGCACCTAAAATGTACAGATTAACACCTAAAATGGAAAAAAAGTTTTCCTTTTGAAAAGGTACAACCCCAGTGACAGCTTTTGTACCTTTTTTCTGAGAGAGTATGTTAGTTTACATTTTTTGCTATTGGCGAGCATGTATAACAGACAGCTAACAATGAGAAAAAGCCAAACCAGTGTTGATTCTGCCAAATAAAAAAATAAAACAGAAGCATCTGCATTTCGTATCAGCTTGAAGGGGTTTCTTTTGCTATTATAAACGGATGACTGTACATTAACGGTTGCCAGATGAGTGTTTTTTTCGAGGCCTAGCATTATGGAATAAACATTAAAGTTCAAAAGTTTAGGGTCAGTAAAATTTTGTGTTATTATTTTTAAAGAATGTTTAATTCTTTTATTCAGCAAGGACACATTAAATTGATCAAAAGACATTTGTAATGTTGCAAAAGATTGTATTTCAAATAAATGCTGTACTTTTGAACTTTCTGTTCATCAAGGAAAACAAATATGAAGCAGCACAACTGTTTTCAACATTGATAACAATCAAAAAATGAGTCTTGAGCATAAAATCACATATTAGAATGATTTCTGAAGGATCATGCGACACTGAAGACTGGAGTAATGATGCTGAACATTCAGATTTGATAACAGGAATACATATTTTACAATTATATTCATTATTATTAATCAATTATTATTGATCAAATAAATGCAGTCTTCCATGGCGAGCCTAATAGACTTCTTTCAAAAACATTAAAAAAATCGTACAAACCATTGAATGAAAGTGAATGACGAATGAAATTACTTAAAACCAACAACAAAACCGGTTGGGACAAATTGACTGTAGGCCAATGATAAACTGGTTGATTTATTTCATATATCAATTATATGAAACAAAACAAAGACTTCATTTGGGGTCTTCTCATAAAGTATTATTATATGCATAATTGTCATACACCCTACATCAAATTAGCTTATGTCAGGAGAAATTGATGAGAGATATAATGGATATTGTTCTGATATGTAGGAAATCAGTTCCCTCAACAAATATTTTCAGGAAGCCAAGTAATACTTTTAGTTACTCCCTAATGCTTTAGTACAAATTGATTCAAATTACATTTTAATATTTCACGTAAATATACTGGACAAACAACTCAGGAATGTGTTCCCGTAGGAAATATTCAAGGACATTTGAGATTTGCTTCTTATGGATATTGGATTACACTACTTGTTTTGATGTAGAAAACACAGTCCTGGAGAAAACCCCTTGTCTGAAACCCTGTAAAACTAGGGGAGAATGAAAAGCAAAACATCATCTCGGCCTGCCAAAACAAACCAATAGTATCCAGCTGCAGACCCGCAGCACACCAGTTTCAGAAACCCAACGCCAGAACCGGAAGTAAGGGGCGGAGTTACGTTCTAACCAACACCAGCGCCAGGGTCGTAAGTGAGGGGCGGAGCTTAGGTTTGAAACCTAATAACGCCACCTAACGTAATATGGAGGGTATTTTACACATGAAACAGCTTATTGAACATGTTATGACGCTACATACGTTACAGTACAATAAGCATTTTAAAACATTGATTTTGTGTAATATAATTGTATATAGTTTCAGTTATCTTTTGTTATTGTATGAGTTACTTCCTGATCATGATGGTGAAAAAATAATACTTGAAACTTATGGGCATTTTAATGTATAACAGTTTAATAATTTTATCTAGCTAAGCAGGTAAGACCTTTGTTGTTGTTTTTTTTTTATGAAGGAGTTAACTTTATATAATAAAGCTTTGAAAGATATAAAACAAGACAAGCTTTGAAGGTTTTCAAAATTATACACAATTCAATAACTCATTAGACCTCTGTGATATTTTATGTGATATTTATTAATTTATTGTGTTTACAAAAATATTAAATTGTTAAGAAATTAAAGATATCTATTTGTAAGATGATTTTGATTGTTTAATAAAAAAATAAAAAATGCATGGGTATTTTTGATAAAATATACTTTATTTCACAAGAACATGTGCAGCATGCAATTTTTTTCGTGTCAAATAATAATGTCAAAATCTAAAAAAGAGAGAGAAAATTCGGCATTGTTTTAAACGAAACAATACAAATCTATAGCTACAAATGACCAATTCAACCCTAGGCCTCCCAGATAGCAAACTGACATTGAATCAACGTGGAAATATGACATAGAAAGAACGTTGATCTGACATTGTTTTGCTCATCGAATTAACGTTGAACCAACGTCAGACGCGTCATTCTTTCAAAACTAACGGAAAATCAACTTGAAATCAACGCGTTGTTTCAACGTTATGAAAGCAAACCAATTTTCGATTTTCATTTAGCTTTGAAGAATGCCGCGTCTGACGTTGGTTCAACGTTAATTCGATGAGCAAAATCAACGTTGTTTCAATGTCATGAGAGACGTCGTTTCCACGTTGATTCAATGTCAGTTTGCTGTCTGGGCTGTTTTATCACAACAATCTTGTATACATATAACTTACAATGTATCAAATGATGAACTCACTCTCAGGCCCATTTTGTCCTTACATTCTTGCTAAAATAACTATAATGCAATAATAATAATAATTCCGCCCCTCCCTCACTTCCGGTTCTGAAACTGGTGGTGCTGCGGGTCTGCAGCTGGCTATATCTCAAACAAACTCTCTGAATCCATGGCCAGTAATTCATTAGTCAGTCAAAAAACTGCTCCAGAGACTTAAAGCTACTGCGGCCACACATGTAGGTCAAGAGGCGATGCTGAATGAGTGGCTCTAGCACTGTTAGGTAATGCAGCATAGACATATACACTAGACGTCACCTTGGCTACGGCAGTTCATTGGAACGAATGCGTCAATAGAGCCGCCATCTTGAAACAGGGAAGCCCCTCCACTTTAATGCATCAGCGTCAATGTAGTAGACACAGGTCTAACGGAAATAAAATCACCATAAATCATCATGAATGCGATTTTTCTTGTTTTTTTGGTTTGTTCCAACGGTCAGACATGTATTCATCATTGATTCCAGAAAGAAATTTTTTTTTTTTTTTTAAAACATTCTTCCTAGTTCAGATTTCACCCGTGAACATCATACGCTGCACAAAAGTCCGCCACCATCAATGAATTCGACGTAAAGGCAGAGATAGCAGCGTTACCTAGCTACTTCCTATGACAAGACCCCTGTTCCAAGATGGCGGCGGTTTTGCCGCATGCTTAGAACCCCAAGGTGAGGTCTAGTGTATATGTCTATGGGTAGTGCAGTATGTGCTCAGGGCGCTTGAAAGATAAATGGAGGCTATTATCACTCGCAGTTATGACTTTAGATTAGATTAGATTTATTTGACCACTTAAATATAAAAATATGAAGAACAGTAAGAAACTGTTGCATACATTAAAAAACAAATACAAAAGTAGTCAGGGATAACACAATAAAGCCCGAAGACTTATTTCCATTGTGGTCCCTTTAAACATCCCAGCATGGAGCTAGTAAAGGTTCAGGTGTGTGAAGTACCTTAGGGTTTCTTCTCGATGTCTTCCATATGGGATCTTCTGGTACTAACAGGTTTGTAAGTCCTTGCTTTTGTTGATTACGGTGCCCGATGCACAGAGCATCACAGTCCCGCCCACAGCCCGAGAGAGCGTTGGTGCAGTTGAGCTATAAAAGAAAGATGGCGTCTGAAATTTGAGAGACATTTTGTGTGTAAATGTACGTTTTTGACCAACGTTTTACACTTTTGATGTCATTTCTAGCTAGACATTGCTATTGTAGTAATTAAATATTCGCTTAGAGCCAGACCGATATATCGGCCGATATTAGGCATTTTCCAAAATATCGGTATCGGCAGTTATAATGGCCGATAAATGAATATTTAAAAAATAAAATAAAAATGGACGCAACACGCTTTAATCATCTCTCCTTGGCCTGTTATATTGAAAATGTATGTTTTACAATGTTATCTATTGCTAAATTATGGCTCATCTTAGACTAGCTAACCACAAAGCTAGCTAATCATCAGTGGAAGACCGGTAACGTTAACATTAATGAGCTTGGAAACCACAATGAACTTTTTCTGCCTAAATAAAGTAATGATTACTGTATTTATAACTAGCATATCTCTAGTTACAGCCCCTGCATTGTAAAATGTAAGTTATACTTGCGAGGAGTGAACATTTAGACATAGAGAAAAAGTATCAAACGAATCTTGTGCAGAAAAGTTAGCTTTTCTTTTTCAGGTGTGTGAAATCCAACAATATTTAATAAAAAATATATATATGAAGAGTTCAGATGCAAAAGCCTCTAAGTGCCATTTGAAATTTTCTTCTAGAATGATGATTTTTATCAAGCTTGTATATTTAAGTTCAGTGATTTCACTTAAATGGCAATGATAATTACCTATTAATTGTTATATAAGTGAAATTACTGAACTTAAATATACAAGTTTGATAAAAATCATCATTCAAGAAGAAAATTTCAAATGGCATTTAGAGGCTTTTGCATCTGAACTCTTCAAATATCGGCCGATATATCGGAATATCGGATTTTAAAACCCAAAAATATTTGTATCGTATCGGCCTTCAAAATCCTGTATCGGTCGGGCTCTAGTTTTCACCAAAGCTCTCTCTATTTTGCTGTAGATCATTAAACCATTTCGCTGTGCAAAAGTCTGTCCGAAATCAGTCAAACAAAGTTTAATACTTAGTGTTAGTGATTTAAACAAACCCCTAACCCCAAGTGTGCACAATAGTAATAGTGATTTTAACCAGTGCATTTCTTTGGAAGATCACTGAAGATCTTTGTTACTGTCGTCTTTCAAACAAACACACACCCAAAAAAAAATATCTTACCAACTCCAAAAAAAGTTGAAGTACTCGGTTTGATTTCAACTAACAATCCGGAAAACGTTCGGCATTTAGCATTGATTTCAAAGTCATTCCCAGACTGCACATAATCATTTACATTCACGCATGTCTGAGAATGAGTTTTAAAATCCTACAAAATAAGTTGTGTTTGCTTTTAGTGCTCCTAATGGAGTTCGCTCCTGACAAATCTTAATACCGGCGTGATTAGCGTTTCACATTTATCAGAAACTACAATGTGACTGCAGCCACAGTCCGTGCAGCGGGAGATTCATAGCGGTCTGTGTTTAGTCTGCAGACCGCAGCTTGACGCTGGTACATCTGATGACTAAAGCACGCCGGTGAGCTGACGACATCGCATTGGCAGTGAGGTGAAGTCATCCAGTGAAAGGACTGGAAAGAAATGCACCTGAAATGAAGTCAGGGCTTTCCCGGGAACGGCCAAAAGTTTGGAACGAGGTCAGAATTAGACATCAGTGGGTGCGTTATTCTTGCCATATTTATTTACATCACTACAGCGACTTAGAAACATCTGCAAACAAACAGTTTACATGCATTTAAATTTAAATTCAAGTCCATTTGCCTGCATTTGCATTATCAAAATGCACCAATCAAGAGTGCTCTCCAAGATAATTAGGTGCTATGTATGAATCCAAAACATTGTTAAAATGCAAACAAACCTCTAGTTGTAGAATAACCAAGCCAAAACTATGAATCATATGTAATCTTATATAAAAGAATTAGATTAACCGTTTTCACTTTTGACAAAAATATATAGCTTATATATATATATAAATAAAAACATGTCATCTTTTGAAAAATTTTATGTTTGTTTATATTAACACTATTTATCCATTTTGCATTAGTTTTTATTTGATTAATATTTATATTTGTGTGTTTGTGTATATATACAGTATATATATTAGGGCTGTAAAACGATTAATCGCATCCAAAATAATAGTTTGTGTTTACATAATGTGTATTTTGGATGCGATTAATCGTCTGACAGCCCATATATATATAGCCATTTTCAAGTTACAACTTATGACAAAAAAAAAACAAAAAAAAACCCATTGCTTCTATAGTCAAAGTAATGTCAAAGTAAATATTTATGGCATGCATTAAGGAAGATTTATGGTTACATTGGGGCCTTTTTGGTTGGATGTATGCTGCGGAAACTCATGTTTAGTCTGTCTTTAGTCTTTGACAGATGTCACTAGATTGTCAGATGCATAAAAAAAAGCATGAGAGCATTAAGGAGAAAGTTAATGATCAAAAGCTGCACTGAAACACCAGTATGTGTCAGGTTATGGATCCTGGTGAAGGCCTGTATGAGCCCAGCGGGGCCCGAGTCAAGAGAGTTGTTTTTGTACATGGATGACAACTAAACAGGCAAAACATTGTAAATAAAATAAAGAATTAAAAATATATATATATATATCAGTGTTCACAAAATTTCTCAAGATCCTAGAAAATTGCGCATAGAGCAGAGAACGTGTTGAAACCTTTCATAGAAAACAACAAATGTTGTACAGATGGCTTAATAGTATTCTTTCTTTCTTTCTTTCTTTCTTTCTTTCTTTCTTTCTTAATAGTATTCTTTCTTTCTTTCTTTCTTTCTTAATAGTATTCTTTCTTTCTTTCTTTCTTAATAGTATTCTTTCTTTCTTTCTTTCTTTCTTAATAGTATTCTTTCTTTCTTTCTTTCTTTCTTTCTTAATAGTATTCTTTCTTTCTTTCTTTCTTAATAGTATTCTTTCTTTCTTTCTTTCTTTCTTTCTTAATAGTATTCTTTCTTTCTTTCTTTCTTTCTTAATAGTATTCTTTCTTTCTTTCTTTCTTAATAGTATTCTTTCTTTCTTTCTTTCTTTCTTTCTTAATAGTATTCTTTCTTTCTTTCTTTCTTTCTTTCTTTCTTTCTTTCTTTCTTTCTTTCTTTCTTTCTTTCTTTCTTTCTTTCTTTCTTTCTTTCTTTCTTTCTTTCTTTCTTTCTTTGACTACCGTGGACAACAAGTTTAGGGTTTCCACACCAAAGACCAATGCATTTCTATAACTTTCCAAATAGTTTTTGAATACTAGATATCATTTTTTTTTTAGAGATTGCACTCATGAAAAGCAATTTCTAGATAAAAAAAAAAAGTGTCTAAGACTTTTCAGGCCAAATTAAACTATTTCAGGTTTTTCGTGACCGTGGGAACGTGCATCTTCACAGGATGGTTTTGCTGGTCCACCAGCCCTAATAAACCAGCTCTAAACTCCATTTAAACCAGCCTGGAAATGAAATCCAGTCTAAGATGGGCCTCGGCTTCTGTGGTTCTCGGTTATAAGGATCATTTACACAATTTCCTTTTACCACAACCTTAAAAAACCCAGATGCTCCTAAATCACTCAGACAACACCTACAAACGGTCAGAGTTTCCCACCCCCTGCACAAAGACATTTTTATTTTAGTCTAATATTCAACTAACTTCCATGAGAGCACAGCAGTGCTTACAACTTACGATACTGTCAGGTGTGCTTGTCTTTTTCCGTCTATCACTCCATATATCCAGCTGACATTATTAGTGTACAGCAACCAAATGTGTAAGTTCACTCTCGGGGAAGTGTCCTGCCAGAAGCAGACACAGGTCTTCAAGAATGCCGGTTGTTTCCACAAACTGACTGTCTTATTTATGGCTCAGAAGGGCTGAGAAATATTCAAAAACAGACTATATATCTACAGTGGAAAGCACAACAGTTCTAATCCCGTCACAAAACGCATTTGCACAGAAGAATCACACATCGAGTATAACAAATCACACTGTATAAATAGTATTTGATTTAAGTCACACAATATGCAATATACTTATATGTACTGTAAATGTACACTAGTAACTTTTGGCCCTCTAGTTGTTCAAAAGCAAAACTGCATGCATGTTTGGTTGTGAGATATAACCAGTTTAGATGGAAAGGATCTCAAGCGGTCAAGCTTAATAGACACTTAATAGACATGCAACAATTCGATGGAAAAATAAGTTCCAGCATAGTTACAACAACCATAATTAAATGATCTTCACAATAGATAATGCTTCACAATGAACTCTGTTAGAGTTAAATGTGGCAATTTATCTGTTCAATAAAACACCTTACTCACATGTTGATTAATGAAAACACCCTCTTTGTATCGCTTTTAAATCATTTAAAATCCCTCCGAAAAGCCTAGCCAATGTTGGTTCTTGTTTTATTACGAGCTCCGGCTCACTCTCTTTTTGCCATCCGACTTTAAGAAATCATAAATGCAAGTTTTCCAATTAAATAATTGACATGAGCACCCTTTCAATTTATATTTACCACTGTTTGAGGGGACACCCATTTGTAGTGGTGTCCGAAACCATTATCGAGTGCGCCACAATGCAACGCAATAACGAACTGATTAACATATTTTAAACAAAAACAAAAAAAGTTACATAGTGTACCTTCAACATTTATAAATTATATTTTAATTTAAAAAGAGTTCATGTGTTTGGAAGACGTCTCTAATGCCCGAGGCTGAATTTATTTGATCAAAAATACAGTATTAAATTTGATTACTATAACTAATAGTGTAAATTTTAAAGTGTAATTTATTCCTGTACTCCTGTGATACATTTTTAAGCTTATTTGATCAATAGAAAGTTCAAAACAATGTAAAAATCTTTAGCAACACTTTTGACTAATTTAATGTTAATAATTAATTCCTGAATGAAAGTATTCATTTCTTGTAGGGCTGTCAAACGATTAATCGCGATTAATCGCATATAAAATAAAAGTTTGTGTTTACATAATATATGTGGGTGCACTGTGTATAATTATATATATATATATATATATATATATATACACACACACACACACACACACACACACACACACATGTATATTTAAGAAAAATATATAATTTATATAAAATATTTATATATAACAAATTATATATAAATCTATATACAGTATATACATGAAAATATTTTTAAATATATACAAGCATGTGTATTTATATATATAAAATAATGCACCCACATATATTATGTAAACACAAACTTTTATTTTGGATGCGATTAATCGCGATCAATTGTTTGACAGCCCTAATTTCTTGATAACACAAATATTACAACTTATGTCATACAAACAGACGCACTTGTTAGTTGCCGCTTATAAGATACAGATAAGTCAAGCAAAAGTATTCGACAGTGCCACAGCGGGACCAAACGATGATTTATGAGGCATACGCTCATGTGATGGCAAAGCGGACCAATGCACCGCGGTACCCATGAGGCAAAGGCTTTTATCTTCCATGACAAATGTCTGGTCAGCACACGGTTTCATAAAGACTTGACATTGTTCCTGAGTGCCGTAACAACCCTCACGCTTCTCTGGCCGCTGGAATTATTATTTCCAGGTGTCTCAAATGTGAGTCAGATGCTTGTAAAGCGGGCCTGCAGGTAACAGTCTCTCATTACAAGCAAGTAGCGCCTATGGAAATCACAGACCGGACCGTCTCTTAAACAACTCACCCTGCTGGCATGGGATCTTTTTCTTTTCCATCCACGTGTTTCCGGAGCTACCATTCCATCATGCTGGGATTCATCCGTGAATTATGGAATTGCTGCAGTTGACAAGCCATTTGAAGCACTGCAGCAAGAAATGCCCTTGACCAACAGACTCGTATTTATCTCGTCTTAATCCAGCCTTTTCCTTTTTCTTTAGATCCAGAGCTAAACATGGACAGAGACACAAATCATTCCATGTCTAAAAAATAGACACACTGTAAAAAATGTCCGTGATTTTAACAGTAAAAGACTGTAAAAATGCTACAGTGCAAAACTGTTAATTGGTTAACAGAAAGTTTTCGTACTTTATACGGTAAATAACTGTGATATAATTTTACAGTAAAATAACGTTAAATTTACAGTTTTTGAAAGTGAAAAAGAACAAATCGTTGTATAATTTACAGTGAAAAACCGTAAATTGACATTCCCACAATTCCCTGTGTGACTTCATATTTGATGTATTTTTGTTGAAATAACTATATAGTTTTATTGTTTTTTCTCTAATCAGTTATGTACATTAGGGTTTTATGTTACATTTAATGTTGTTAAATTAAATAGTTAAATTATTGCATTTTTTAATTTCATGTGTGTTACCATGATGGTGTTTAATGTTTGTGTGAATGACACTGTGCAGCTTCTTTATATAAGTATTACTTAAATAAGTAATCACTTATGATGAGCTGTGATTGCTCAAGTAACTCTCATCACTGCTGTGATGATTGATGGTTGTAAGTGTATTACAATGGTCTAAAACAGATATCAATAAGTTGGTAAATTAACATTTTATCAGAAAATAAAATACGGTTTATTACTGTAAATTTTAAGTTAAGTCTGTAAAACCATTAACGTTCCTACCGTATTTTTAACGGTAATGTTCTGGCAACCACAGCCGCCGTTTTTTTACTGTAAAATTTACGGTTTATTTTTTACAGTGCACATTTTGAAAATGTCTAAATACAATATCCTATGGGATTTTTCAAGCACAAAGCTAAAGGTGCAAATATTTAATGAATAAAATTTGTTACATTTGTTCTAAATAAATTATACTATCACAAATAAAAAAGGACAATTTTTTTAGGAACATGTTTGCATTGTCACATTTTTTTGTCATTTTAAGCTCAAATTATCATTATGTGACACAATAAAAAAAATCATTAAAGTTAAATCAAATTATAATCATTTTTATGATAATACTCTAAAAAATACTGGGTTGTTTCAACCCAAATTTGGGTCACTTCCAAGAAGCATCTCACTACGCTCTCTAAATACTGAAATATTACATGTTTTGTTTGTTATATATTAAATCAACATTTTTAAATGAGTAGTTTTATACTTCTCCATTGTTTGTGCTGTTCTCAATGCTTCATGGAATTGTAGTTCTTTCAATCACTAAAGTCGTTAAGAACACAGTCACGGTCAAAAAGAGTATACGTATACTTTTTGGGCATAGTATAGGTGAACTGGGGTGCGGTGATGGTGCTTCTACAACCGTATCAGCAATTTAAACTGTTGCTTTTAAAGCGCTTGGCAGTCCGAGTCGAGAAAAAGGAAATTTAAAAAAATTGTGGCTGGTATGGTTTCTGGACGTTACACTACAAATGGAAGGACAAGTCAAGTGAAATATTTTCTAAGATACAGTATTTCATGCATTGTTCTTCTTATATTGACATCTCTGCAATCTTAGGTCAACATGCATACAGAAAAGTTGCATACTTTGTTTGCACATACACTGTAAATAAAATGTGTTCAATTTGCGGTAAAATACCGGCAGCTGTGGTTGCCAAAAATTTAACGTATAAAATACGGTAGCAAGAATTTACAGTATAAGGTTTTACAGGCTTAACTTAAAATTTACGGAAATAAACTGGATTTAATTATCTGATATACTGTTAAATTATCGACCATTTGAAGTGTTAATATCTGTTTTATACCATTGTAATAAAGTGACATCCATCAATCACAGCAGTAATAAGAGTCACATGATATATGGAAACTCATCACATGTAGCTCTTTCACAAGAAACTTAATATTAACACATAGAAGCGGCACAGTGTCATTCACTCAAACATTAAACACCATCATGGTAACACACATGAAATTTTAAAAAGGCAATAAACATTAATTTAACAACATTAAATGTCACATAAAACCCTAATGTACCTAACTGATTAGAAAAAGACTAAGCAAACTATGAAGAAACAAGTTATTTCAGCAAAAAATACGTTTTTTCACTGTAAATTATACGATGAGTTGTTCATTTTCACTTTAAAAACTGTAAATTTAACAGTATTTTACAGTAAAATTACATACAATTTACCATAAGATTTATCACAGTTATTTACCGTATATAGTAAGGAAAGGTTATGTTAACCAATTAACAGTTTTTCACTGTAGCATTTTTACAGTCTTTTACTGTAAAAAAAAAAATTTTAGTCTTTTACTGTTACTCTACTGTTAAAGTCACGATCATTTTTTACAGTAAAAAAGGGTTCTATACATGAAGCATAGGGTTCTTTACTCAACTCCAAAGAAGCTTTTATGCTAAAAAAGGTTCTATAATGCCACAAAGGTTCTTTATAGGCTATTTGTCATTCATATATTATATTACCTGCAACATTTCAATTATTGTTTATTAAACTTAGTAACTTAATATCACATTTTAATCATGCATGATTTTTAGAGGAGAAAAACTGAAATGGCACTCTTCGTGTGATTTTTCACACGATTCTTCGTATTGATTAACTACATAAAATGATAGAAATATATACATTTTCTAACCCCCATGAATTTTGTGATCATTCACATGCATTCATAAATACATTGATGTTTGTCAATAATATGAAATATTTAATCCGGAAAGGACAAAACAAATGATAATGAATGAACCCAAAAGGTTCCATATAGAATTATTTAACCCTTAAGGATTCTGTATAGAACCTTTTAGGGGTTCCAAATACGTAGCACTGATGGAACCTTTTAAGGTTCTATATAGAACCTTTTCTTCTAGTGCTCTGGATGTATACTGCACATTTTAACAAATTTGAGTTTGCATACTGAACATTTAAAGTATATGAAATGCACTGTTCCTGCTGTAAAATAGTATTCTAAACTTTAGTGCACTAAGGTCTCTGGTCTCATGCATCACAGATGGAGACTGTGATCATCTTCCATAAATAGACACTTAACGCGCTGAGGGTCCATCGGATCAATTAACATTTCATCGCTTTTGTTATTTGTTGTATCCCATGAACCTGTAGCCTGGATACTCGGTGCAGAGCGTCTGTCTCTCCGGTTTCAAAAGCAGGCGTTTTGGCGCATCCAGAAGGAACACTCAGTCCTCTCATGACTCGCACTGCTTTCCATGCAGCAACACAAACCTTCCAAACAGTGTAAATTATTAAAACATTTGTGGTGCCGTGAAAAAAAGAGGAACTGACAGCATGTTCGCTCAATACTACTTAAAATCAGTTTATATTTCAGAATAAATGCATTATTCATTGAAATTCCTCTACAACTAAAGACAATACAAATACAATAGACCCATGCATTATTTTGGACCTGTCTGAATGTCATTAGAGCATAAAATATCGACGCAAGTGAGATCCGTGTTCAAATGCTGCACAATCTTTTCACTGACTTCATTTTTAAACAATGTCTTAACAAAGTGTTGTTTTGATGATTTTTAGTGGATGTATGAAGTCAGTTCTCTTCAAGGACACAAGTATTGTTAATAAATGACAATACATCTATAGATTTAGCTGTAAATTACATATTTTGAATCCAATGAATGACATTTTCAGACGTGATTTAATTGTTCAAGTACTTCTTTCAACTACTGTATTTGTTTCTGTTACAGATGATGCTGTTGCTGACGAGACGAACTGAAACTCAACATCTGGACTATACCACCCCCACCTGGTCACTGCAGGCATTCTGTGAGTCTCACTGATAACAGAGACACAGCAATCCCTGCAAATGACTAACTAGATAAATTACCCATGATCATGGGATTTTTCCAGTCACTCTAAATTGCTAGTTAAAGGGATAGTTCACTTTGAAATACATTTTTGGTATGTTTTAGCTTACCTCAAGGGCATCCAGGGTGTCTGTTTCCACAGTATTTTCAATTTTGATATTTTTAGGTCAAACCGTTCTTGTCTGTCAGGCATATAATGGAGGTTTATGGGGTCCACCTCAAAGAGCATGCACAGAGAAGTCCAAATTAAACATGATTTAATGACTCGTGAATGTAAGTACACATTGATGGCCTAAGACACGAAACGAGCGGTTTGTGTGAGAAAACGAACAGTATTTATAGCATTTTTACCTCTTGTAATCACAGTCACGTCCAAGTACTCTGAGGGCGCGGGTGCTTCGGTCTGCGCAGTTGAAGACTGGAAAAATGTTGCCTGGTCTGATGAGTCTCGATTTCTGTTGAGACATTCAGAATTTGGCGTAAACAGAATGAGAACATGGATCATCATGCCTTGTTCCCACTGTGCAGGCTGGTGGTGGTGGTGTAATGGTTTTCTTGGCACACTTTAGGCCCCTTAGTGCCAATTGGGCATCGTTTAAATGCCACGGCCTACCTGAGCATTGTTTCTGACCATGTCCATCCCTTTATGGCCACCATGTCCCCATCCTCTGATGGCTTCTTCCAGCAGGATAATGCACCATGAATCATTTCAAATTGGTTTCTTGAACATGTCAATGAGTTGACTGGACTAAAATGGCCGCCACAGTCACCAGATCTCAACCCAATAGAGCATCTTTGGGATGTGGTGGAACGGGAGCTTTATCCCACAAATCTCCATCAACTGCAAGATGCTATCCTATCAATATGGGCCAACATTTCCTTGTTGAATCAATGCCACGTAGAATTAAGGCAGTTCTGAAGGCGAAAGGGGGTCAAACACAGTATTAGAATGGTGTTCCTAATAATCCTTTAGGTGAGTGTATAGCCTAAGCTCCTTCAGTATTATCAACAGCTATTGTGTTTCTCAGAAGCTCCATCCCCAGCATTTGGCATTCTGATTCCCCTTGAATCAAAAAAAAAATTCTTGAATCATGTTGTACTTTTAAAATCTTGAATTAATGATTTCTGCAATACATTCATGTTGGTTTTGTTCTGTTTACCCTGAGGGGGGTTATTGCTCTTATTTATGCTAGGCTGTATGAAGCACAGGGAGTTCTCGCCTAAAACAGAAGTATACCGCCAAATCCAAACTGTATGCTAATATCAATCGTATTCGACGATAGTGGTCCTGACAGAACTAAACCTCAGACTGCTTTTCTTAGGTCAGCTCTAAAGACCTGAAATGTGCAATATAGACTGACAGAAGAAGTACAAAAACACAAGGCAGAAATTGATTCAGTTGTGTAGTTAGAATATAAATGGAGGCTGCACGGCACATTTCTGAATGCTGAAGGGAAAGTAACTGATTAAATCTTTTTTTTTTCTTTTTTTTTGCCTCTCCTTTCCACTGGGCTGGTTTTCATATTAAAGCATTCATGCATTAATGTCCTTTAATGGTTTTAGTACAGCAGTGCTACTGCAATGCAATGCAACATATTAAAAATTGCTTGGCAGACGTCGTACTGTAAAGAATAATATATACAGCACACTAAAATAAGTGGTGTGATATCACGAGTCATATCCCTGATAAAGAAGTGTGCTTAATTGTATTGAATGTGCTCTTGTGGTGTAGCTATTTAAAAATGTATTTGCCGTTTATATAATATTTATGATATAAAAGGCCACTAAACTTTTTCCTGTCCAGCTTTATTAAAAAAAAAAAAAAAAAAAAAAAAAAAAGTTGCCAGGATTGTTAATAATTTTTACAAAATTTTATGGCCCTCAGAATATTTTGTCGTATATCTGAACAATATATATATATATATATATATATATATATATATACACTCACCGGCCACTTTATTAGGTACACCTGTCCAACTGCTCGTTAACACTTAATTTCTAAGCAGCCAATCACATGGCGGCAACTCAGTGCATTTAGGCATGTAGACATGGTCAAGACAATCTCCTGCAGTTCAAACCGAGCATCAGTATGGGGAAGAAAGGTGATTTGAGTGACTTTGAACGTGGCATGATTGTTGGTGCCAGAAGGGCTGGTCTGAGTATTTCAGAAACTGCTAATCTACTGGGATTTTCACGCACAACCATCTCTAGGGTTTACAGAGAATGGTCCGAAAAAGAAAAAACATCCAGTGAGCGGCAGTTCTGTGGGCGGAAATGCCTTGTTGATGCCAGAGGTCAGAGGAGAATGGCCAGACTGGTTCGAGCTGATAGAAGGGCAACAGTGACTCAAATAACCACCCGTTACAACCAAGGTGGGCAGAAGAGCATCTCTGAACGCACAGTACGTCGAACTTTGAGGCAGATGGGCTACAGCAGCAGAAGACCACACCGGGTGCCACTCCTTTCAGCTAAGAACAGGAAACTGAGGCTACAATTTGCACAAGCTCATCGAAATTGGACAATAGAAGATTGGAAAAACGTTGCCTGGTCTGATGAGTCTCGATTTCTGCTGCGACATTCGGATGGTAGGGTCAGAATTTGGCGTCTACAACATGAAAGCATGGATCCATCCTGCCTTGTATCAACGGTTCAGGCTGGTGGTGGTGGTGTCATGGTGTGGGGAATATTTTCTTGCCACTCTTTGGGCCCCTTGGTACCAATTGAGCATCGTTGCAACGCCACAGTGTACCTGAGTATTGTTGCTGACCATGTCCATCCCTTTATGACCACAATGTACCCAACTTCTGATGGCTACTTTCAGCAGGATAATGCGCCATGTCATAAAGCTGGAATCATCTCAGACTGGTTTCTTGAACATGACAATGAGTTCGCTGTACTCAAATGGCCTCCACAGTCACCAGATCTCAATCCAATAGAGCATCTTTGGGATGTGGTGGAACGGGAGATTCGCATCATGGATGTGCAGCCGACAAATCTGCGGCAACTGTGATGCCATCATGTCAATATGGACCAAACTCCCTGAGGAATGCTTCCAGCACCTTGTTGAATCTATGCCACAAAGAATTGAGGTAGTTCTGAAGGCAAAAGGGGGTCCAACCCGTTACTAGTATGGGGTACCTAATAAAGTGGCCGGTGAGTGTATATATATATATATATATACATACATTTTTTGCCTGTGTTTTGACCTAGAGATTCTGTAATCTTTCAAAACTTGCATATTAGCGCCACTTACCATATAACATTAAAAGTTGAAAAATTCCACCAATGGCGTGGAAAGAGTTAAGTGTACTTAAAGAGTGTACACTTTCATGGCTGTTTTTTTAACACACTTAAGTACGCTTTACTTTAAAGTAGCTATATTTAAAAGAGTTTTAAATCATTGCAAAAAAATAAATTAATTTTTGATGAAAACATTCCAGGATTTTTCTCCACATAATGTACTTCAATGGGAACCAAATGGTTCAAGGTCCAAATGAGAGTTTCAGTGCAGCTTCAAAGGGCTTTAAACGGCACCAGACGATGAATAAGGGTCTTATCTAGCGAAACGATCGCTCATTTAATAAATAAATAACAAAGTTTTATAAGCACAAAGGCTCGCCTTATTCTGTTCTGTGATGAGCGTTCGTGACTCTCCTGTTCAAACTCGTTTATCAACATGAACAAATCTTTTTTCGAGTCTTCTCAAAACAGATCTTTTTTCCTAGATAAGACCCTTATTCATCGTCTGGTGTCGTTTAAAGCCCTTTGAAGCTGCACTGAAACTGTCTTTTGGACCTTGAACCGTTTGGTTCCCATTGAAGTCCATTATATGGAGAAAAATCCTGGAATGTTTATCAAAAACCTTAATTTCTTTTCGACTGTAGAAAGAAAGGCATGGATATCTTGGATGACATGGGGGTGAGTAAATTATCAGCAAAAGTTGTTTTAAAAGTAACTACTCCTTTAAGTCCAACTAATTATTTAAATATAAACTAAAACACTGCTCATTTAATTGTAAATAACATTGCAGTTATGTATCTGAAATGTTTAGGCCTATTCAATAATCTTTTTTTCTATCCAATAAGCATTTTTTCATAGAAGTGTGCTTCTTTTTCACAAGGGTATATGCTAACAGTTCAGTATAAAATACAATAAGCACATTCTCAAAGAAAACCCTTTGGTGCAAATCCTAGTAAGCTACCTATATGCAACCCATGATCATCAACACTGCACATCAGCTGCCTGTACCTCAGTTAGACTAGCTTTTGGAATAGAGCCTTTTATTCTTTCAGAAATATTTGATAATTACAAAAAACCCAGCATGATTAATTGCAAATCCACTTCTCCTGTGTGTAGCCACAGCAATGTTAATCAAGCCTGTCTGAGTCTTACATAAACCACATTTCAGTTGCGTGTGTACTGGCGAGTAATGGATGAATTGTCTTGATTAACTGTCAGGTAGGTTAGATTTGTGGACGGACATATTGAGGTTTCTGTTTCGCTGCCATATGTTTGGAGTTAACGCTCTGCATGTGTTGTGTCATAGGGGAAGATCAATGATAACTTAATTAAGCCTAAAAAATTGGGATGTTTATCGATTTTGTTCTACACCAGCAGTTTGGAGGCACGGAAGTGACAATAATCACAACATGAAGAAGTGTGGCAAATCCACATCCACTGGGCCAAACAAACACAGATGTTTCATACTAAACAAAAATAAGCTATTTTTTTTAAACTGAATATATTTGTGCATTAAAGCCAAAGGAATTTTAAGAAATGGCAATAGGCTTGCAATGCATTTCAATGGACGTGGAAGCAGAGAATGTCCGAGTGTATTGGGTTAGCTGCGCACCGTGATTGGCTCATCGCGTTTGAGGGCGTGGCTTAGCCATAGGTCAGTTATGAATGGCGGATAACCCTAAAAGTGAACGTACTGTATACGTTAATCCTTTGAGCACACTATAGACGACCAACAAACTAAAATACACTGAACACAGACAGAAACGGAGTGTGTTTGTTTGTAAAAGACTGCAGAGGTCCTGTTTGATCAGGATTTCCTTTAATGAGGACCTGACTCGACTGAGCGCGTGCAGATTGCTGATAGCACAGTAACTACTACCTCTGAGACTACTGAGATACTACCTCCACAAACTTTAACTGGGCATCTTCCTCCTCACACAAAACAACAGACACGCAATCAATCACACTGCAGCTCAGAGGCTCTGCTGAATGCAATACACTGACTATTGGCCTTTACTCCGTACTGCACCTACTCGTTATTTTTTAAAGGGATAGTTCACCCAAAAATGAAAATTAAGTCATTAATTACTCACCCCCATGCTGTACCAACCCCGTAAGACCTTCGTTCGTCTTCAGAACACAAATGAAGATATTTTTTATTAAATTTGAGTGAGATGTTGATCACTGCTAGGCTGCCAAAGGGATCGAAACT